ACCCTCCTTCGGGTCTTGTCCCATACTTCTTGGGGGGCAGATAGGCGCACTCTCCTTGCTTTACATTCCTCTCTCGTCCTGTCTAAGCTCGATTATGGTTGCCCTGCTTACTCGTCTGCTTCTCCTTCTACTCTTCGCCGTCTTGATGCTTTGCACCATACTGGGTTGCGCCTCAGTTCTGTTGCCTTTCGTTCGACTCCCGTCCTTAGCTTGTATGTTGACACTGGCTTCCTGTCTCTCCAGGACCGCCGTGATTGCTACTGTCTTCGCTATCTTGCGCGGTCCTTGCAACATCCTTCCTCTCGCCTCTGTCGTGCTTTAACTTTTACCCCTCCTGCGGTTCCTGTTCCTCTTCACCACCTCCCTCTTTCTGTCCGGTTATCTCGCCTACAGGATTCTCTTTCCGTTCGTATTTCTGATGTTTCTCCTCGTGTTGTTCCATCTTTGCCCCCGTGGAGGGTCCCTCTTCCGCGGTTTTGTACATCCTTGACTCGTATCACTAAAGCTTTTACCCCTCCTACAGTTCTAAAACGCCTTTTCCTCGAGCACTTTTCTTCTCACTCCCGCTCCGTTTCTGTCTTCACCGATGGGTCTAAGTCAGCGGACGGTGTTGGCTACTCTGTTGTTTTTCCTGATCGCACTTATATGTGTCGCTTGCCTCCGGAGACTAGCATCTTTACAGCGGAACTTTATGCTATTCTCTATGCTCTTCTTCTCCTGCTTTCTCGTTGTCAGTCTTCCTTTGTGGTTGTTGTTGACTCTCGTAGTGCCCTCATGGCTCTCGGGTGCTTTAATCCAGTTCATCCGGTAGTTGTCGAGATCCAGCATTGGCTGTTTCTCGTTCACAGTAAATTTAAGTCGGTTGAGTTTTGTTGGGTTCCCAGCCATATTGGCGTGTCTTTAAATGAGCGTGCGGATGCTGCCGCTAAGGAAGCTGTCCGCTCTTGTCCCATCTCTCGTAAAGGCCTTCCGTATTCCGACTTTTACCCGGTTATCCATTCCTCAGTCCTTACCCGTTGGCAGGCTTCTTGGTTGTCTGTTACTGGTAACAAGCTACGTACTCTTAAATGTTGTGTTTCCTCGTGGCCGTCCTCCTTCCACCGTAACCGGCGGTGGGAAACAGCTCTGGCGAGGTTGCGTATTGGCCATACTCGCTTAACCCATGGTCACTTGATGGAGCGCCGCCCTGCTCCTTATTGTCCTAGTTGCATTGTCCCTCTTACGGTCGTGCATGTCCTTCTTGAATGTCCTGACTTCCAGGACGAGCGTGTGTCTTGCTTTCCGACCGCCCCTCGCGGTCACCAGTCCCTCGATAGAATTCTTGGTGACTCGGATACTTTTGATATCGTTCGCCTTATGCGTTTTTGTTCTCGTATTGGCATCCTTGGTGATATTTAGCGCCCTCTGATTATTTTGCGTATTTGATGGTGCTACATAGCCTTCCCGGTTTGGTGCCTTCTTTTGATAATTACTTACTTACTTCCCATCCTTCTCCATCTCGTAAGTGAAACGCAACACAGAATTCTGCTCAAATGCCTCCTTCAGCTCCTGCAGATGTCTGACATCAGGTACCTGTGTAAAAATGTCGTCAACATACCTGCAGTATATGGCCGGTTTCAAGTTCATGTCGACTAAGACTTTTTGCTCGATGGTAAACATGTAGAAGTTCGCAAACAGGACACCTAGGGGAGAACCCATGGCGACCCCATCTACTTGCTTATACATGTGCCCATCCGGGCTCAAGAAGGGTGCCTCTTTAGTACAAGCTTGGAGTAGTTTCCTTAGAATGTTTTCTGGTATGTCAAGAGGAGTACAGGCCGGATCACGATACACTCTGTCCGCTATCATCCCGATTGTTTCATCCACAGGTACGTTGGTAAACAGTGATTCTACGTCCAACGAGGCTCTTATCCCTGTGGCCCGTGTTCTCCGCAGTAAGTCAACAAATTCCTTTGGAGACTTCAGGCTGAAGGCGCAAGGGACATAAGGAGTCAGCAAGCCGTTGAGTCGTTTCGCCAGTCTGTACATGGGTGTGGGTATCTGGCTGATGATTGGCCGAAGTGGGTTTCCAGGCTTATGTGTCTTGACATTTCCATACGCGTATCCAGGTTTATATTCCCCTAAATAAAAATGATTTTTGGAGAATTGATTTTTCAATTACCATCAACAGTGAAAAGAAACATAAGAAAGATCGAGAAAATTCGTGTTAGAATTATTAATCTTACTTTTTCGGTCATATTTAATAATATATGTCTACAGGAAAGACTGCTACCAAAATATACTAATTATATATATATATATATATATATATATATATATATATGTATGTATATATATATATATATATATATATATATATATATATATATATATATATATATATATATATATATATAGAAGGGGTACCACCTCTGGTGCAAGTGTAGGGACCCATAGCCTCGGAGTAGAAAATAAAGAGTACTCAGAGAAGACCTTGTGGATCCTCACTGAACACTTTGATATTTTCTTCTCCTACCACCCCTATTCTTTTGGTATGTGTGTATATTTCTCTAACTTTATTTGAAAATGTCATTACACAAAAAAAGTTACAATATTGATTACATGCAGGGTACAAGGCTGCTTGTCACAAGTTGAACAGCTCCTCCAGCTCCTCAGATGGCGGGCAGCAACCATGGATGCAGTGAGCATTTCCTCTCTGGATTGCCACACTAAGGCGCTGAAAAAGAAAACTGGCAGCTCTAAGGTCTCTAGTTGTTTTGATTAGCTTAGACCCCAACTCCTTCAAGTATAGATAATATATATATATATATATATATATATATATATATATATATATATATATATATATATATATATAATTATATAATTTGCTTAACTGGGTGCATCGCACACTCCCTGTTTAATTCACAACAAAAGTATTATTTTAAAGTTAATCAGACAATAAAAATTGGCCAGTAAAACAAACCTACCCTTAACTCCAAGCAGCAACCTCTGTCTTACCCCAGCTCCCACAAGTCTCTGAGGACGGGGCGCGAGGCTGCCACCAGCTGCAGCCACTCAAGGTAGCCAGCCCTACAGATGACTCGTCAAAATAAGGATATTAGACATCCAGTTATAATAATTTTTTATTTAGGGAAAAGTACATACATACACAATTGGATACAAGAAGAATGTTGGATTTGTAGGTTCAGCAAGTATAAACACTATGCCTAAAACCACTAATAATCAACGCTTTGGGCATATTGTAGAAAACAATTAAAACTAAGACTTAAAACAGAGAACAAAGGCTAAAATTAACTGAAGCAGAACACAACAATAATTACATGGTGAATGATACAGCAGAAATTGCAACAGAGTATCAGATAGTCTGATATTCACTAAATAAATTGAATAAAATTCACTTAATTCTTAATTAAGACTGAATTCACTCTTCACTAAATATAGAGAAGGAATAACAAAATATTTTTAATTTTAAACGGCAGATATCAGCAGTTTTATAAGTTCAGTAATTAATGTTTAATAATAGCAAAACATAGGTTGACATTTAGGAGGTAGGATAGGTTACATGGAGTTGAATAGGTCGTACTTAGTTTCTCTCTACTGGTTGAGAGAGGGGCAGTCTTTGATGTGATTGGGAACCCCGGATTTGGAACCCACATTTTCAGACCCTAGATTTGCAGAGAATTTCCGTTTTGGTTAAGCTGCACTCATGGAATATCAAATCAATAGTTGTTTCTAGTGTGGTGCCAATGGGTTCTGTTACAGCCCTCTATGAAGCATTAAAGGTCGGGACTAGCACTGCAGTTCAGTTTCATACATATACAGTATATATAGAGTACACTTGAGAGAATGTGTTTGAGAACTTAATATCTAACATATTTAAAGATTTAAGTAAGGGGCGCGAGTGCTGTCTGGAGCGAGAGTTTATTGTTCTAATTGCTGATTTGTGTTGAGTAATTAGAGTACGTAGATGATTTTGGGTAGTAGAACCCCAGGCACAGATACCATATGCGAGATTAGGATAGATGAGAGAGTAATAAAGCGTTGCCAGGGGGGGGGGGGGTGAGGTACATAATACAGTATCTGAATTTAGAAAGAATGCCAAATGTTTTTATTTTTTTAGCTACATTTTGTATGTGGCACTGGAAATTCAACTTGATATAAATGAAAACACTCTAGAAACAAAGTGGATGGTAAATTCCTTATCTGGATATTGTTAATCTGGCTTAAGGTGTTGAGAAGTATTTGGAAGGTCGTTAATGTAGATGAGAAAGAGGAGAGGGCCTTTACTTCCACATACTGCCATGTGGAACCCCCAGTGTTAATGGGTAGGATGGAAGAATTAGCAGCATTCACAGAGACATATTAGAACCTGTCACTGAGGTAAGTACTGGAGGGAGTGACCTCTGACTCCACAGTGTTGTAATTTAAGGAGGTTATTGTGACCTGTGAAGAAGCTGACCAACAAAGCCATTAATAACAAATACATACTTATCACCATCCATGAATCTGGTAATAATATTTCAGACTAATAAATTCCAAATTAAGGTGCAAAATATTACATCAAGGCAGTCTCTACCATTGACAACTGTGACAGTCACGACAAGAAACATTATGCTATCCAAAGGTGTTTTGATAATTACCTTACCTTACCTATCCACAAGTGTTACAGACCAATATGTGCTACTGTGGCCCCACACACACGAATGAACATGCATAACTCTCCTCACTAATAAACCATACAGATCGTTTAGATTTAATAATGCAAATATATAACGTCATTAAATATAATATCGCTACACTGTTACTTGAAGGTACGATCAATAATTACAATTAACACTGCCACAGGCTGAAAACATGAACCTGGAGAGTCACAATAAGGTAATACAGTATTGAATAGTTATGATCTAGTGTAATCACTGGGTCATAACAGGGAGAGAGAGAGATGAGAGGGAGAAAAGGGGATGTGAGACGAAGACTAAACCCGGGTGGATGTCCAGCAGGCAGGGGGAGAGTGTGGAGCAGAAGGGTGGAGGAGAGGACGACAACGCCCGCAACTCTGAGCTCACCCGCGCCCACCTCTACTCTCCCACGCCCACCAAGAAGCCCCGGGGCTCCCTGGCCTCCCTCAAGACCCAGGATGACACCTCCGACCCCTACGAGATCTGCCCTTACGCCACCTTCAGGTATTCTGTGTAACCTGTTAAAATCCATTTTGTTTTTCGTCAAAATATTATATCTAAATATGGTTTTTATCTCTGCGAAATAGGTAATGTTAAGTTAATTGAGGGATGTGAGGATTGTGTTTTTGGTAGCTAATGTGAATAATAAGGTTATAGGGTCACCCATTCTTCTCTTCTGGCATTTATGCGGGTATTGATCAGTTCCAAAACTATTGTACATTTCTCAAAATTATGTTTTTCACATTTTACCTTCTATCTTTCTCTCTCCTTCTCTTTCCTCCTTCTTTGTATCTCTTTCTCCCTTTTTGTATCTCGTTCTCCCTTCTATCTATGCCCTTTTCTCTCTCTCCCTCCCGCTGAGCCCCTCTTCTTCCACCTTGTAGCGTGGGAAGCTCTGAAGGCACCTTAGAGTACGGGTTGTCCCTGCACGCCATGACGCCCCGGGACTGCTTGGACCACCCGGCCGGCCACAGTGATCGCTCCTCCCAGCAGCAGTCACCAGCTTACGGCCAGGTTGGTCGTCAGAGGGCCCAGTCCCACTATAAGGAGACAGGTAAACCTCTACTCTACCATTTTTTGTCTTTCATTCGAGTTTTGAAACCATTTTTGAAACCCACTACAAGGAGTCAGGTTTTTTCATGTTTTCAATGAGCTTTCATTCCTTTTCTAAGTCGCAAGGAAGCTTCTTCAATAGCATTCCTTTTGTTTGTTGCCCACGGGTCACTTCAGTAAATTAGTCTTTCATCAGGGCATTTGTTAAGATTCGACAATTTTACTTTTATAATTTCCCAGTATGAGCACTTATAATTATCACATTTCTCTTATGTTCTGAAGAATATCATGCTGATTACCCAAAAGAAAAGATTCAAACAAAACTTATTCATTGATTTATAAAACTGAGTTTACCCCTTTGGCCAACAACAATTTGTAAAATATGCAATGTAATATAAAATATACAATGTTAAACCAGCCCTTTCAATTTACCACTCCATCAAAAATGTAACTGTTTGCCAAACCAGAAACTTAACCTATCGAGGCCGATATACAGAAAACGTCAATATTACGGTGCTTTAATTTTTACTAATACGTCGCATTTGTAATGCATTGATAAATTCCGTAAACAATGCAAGATATTAGGTGAGAGGACGGATGGAGAATGGACCATTAAAGGTGTCACGACTCGTCAAGCTCTCAGGACACCTGTACATCTTTCATCAATCATGGAGGCTTTGTTTACATTTTATTTAATAAAAGGTTTGTGAGCTCCGGAGCACTTTGAGGTTGTTAATAACAATAATAACCTTGAGTTGTCAAGTTTGAAAGCTCGTATACTGTTTAATAAATGTAAACAAAGCCATCATGATGAAGGAAAATGTACAGATTTCTTCTAACATAATAGGGCATGCTCGCCTGTCCAAACCTACTCCTATGAAGTCACATTCTCCGCCCTACTGACGTAACTGTCATTCAGGTATGGAAGATAGGGGGAGCCCGATAGGTCTGAAGGATGGCCAGTTGGTATATGCGGGTGTTCAAGTACGGTTACCTTCGTTCTTGACTTGCAATTGGGGATCCTAGGTTCAAATCCAGGACAGGACCGCAATGGCTGGGCCCGTTTCATTTTACCTAATGTCTTTGTCCACCTAGCAGTAAATAGGTACCCAGGAGTTGGGCAACTGTTGTGGGGTTCCATCCTGGGATGACACATGGCAACAATAACACAGTTGCATATTCTATATTATTACTCCTTATTACTCAGTATTATTCATCAATTCTCGTTACTATTACGTACTCACATTTCCATCATTATCATTCATATCATGCCCATCGTTTTTGGCTAATACGATATCTAATTCTTTTCATTCGCATGGGAGCAGAGATCGCGTACATCACCCGCAGTGGGCGTCCGGAGTATGGGAGTCGTCCCAAGTCCATGCCCAATGCCCAGCCTATGCCCAGTGCCCAGCCTATGCCCACCTCCGCCACACCCGCACCTGCCACCTCCGAGCAGAGGTCATGGACAGAGGAGACCAGGAAGGACACGCGAGGCCGTCCTCACCGACCCAGGAGCCGCACTAGAGGTAGGGACAGAGGCAGTGTGTTCGGGTACCGCAGGAACACTGGCCAAACTCATGCTCGGGTAACGTCTAATCAGCATTGAATCAGTATTTACAATGATTTCCAGGATGAGATAGGGTGAGGTTGCTACTTAAATATGAGTGCCATGGCCATACGTGAGGTAAATAAGTTTTATAGGTGCCATGAGAACATGACAGAGAAAAAGTATGGATTTAAAACACAATACGTTATCCAGACAGTAAGTCACAATAACTTGGCTGAAAATTAAGACACCGAATATTGGTACAGGATGGACCGAAACGTCGTCACTTTCAGTATTTTCAGATGATGTGTGATGGTTGCCTAGTATATAGCATTATTATTTCATCTTGCCTAACTAGATGTAAATCCAAATTTAGCCTAGTGTAAGTAATTCAAGCAGAGCTTATCCAAGCAAACACAACGTTGGTACAATTTTTATTCTCATTACATTGCCCGAACCCTTTTCCAGCCTTCAACTGTTCGATTATTCCATCTATTCATTTGCGAGTCTGAATAGGCACCAAAGTAGCTTCTCACATCTCCACCCAGGCAAAGCCTATGTAGTTTGGTGGCCGGCCACAGAGTTGACATGGTGTGACCTGTGTTGATGACTCAGTCGTGTTTTTGTACTTGACCGAGGTGGACTCCTTCGCCTCTTTCACCATTTTATATCTGTGAATATATGTTGCATCCTGCCACTATGGCATCAGAAAATGCAGGAAATCTGTTGTTCAGGGCTCCTACAAGCGGTGAAGGCAAGAGAAATCATGTCCTGAATTTTGAACAAAAGGTTCAGCTTATGAAGGAAGTTGAATATGGTATTCCTAGGAGTGTCGTGCCAAATACAAAGTTAGCAAACCCACTCTTTATGATATATCGTAAGCTAAAAACATAAGATTTTTACAAGTTATGCAAAAATTGAGTGAAGTAGAAAGGTACAAAAGAAAAGCACTTAGTAATACTCAGGTTATCTGTTTGATGAAGCTGTCTGGGAGTGGTAGAGGCAGACATGTGATGAATCCAAGAAACCAGTGCCATGTTGGCTGAACATGGGAAAGGCCAAGCATTTTCATCTGCTTCGTGATAATTGTGCACACACTAATGGCTGGATAAGGAGCTCTAAAGTTCATCATGGTACTAGGAGTGTGAAATTACGAGGTGAAAAGGTGCAGAGGAATGGGTGTCCATATTTGAAGAGATTGTGCAGGATGATTCTATATCTCCTGAGCACATTTCTAATGCTGATGAAACATCAAATCAAATCAAATGTTTATTTAGGTAAGGTACATACATACAAGAGATTTTACAAAGAGTGATGGATTTATAGATAGGGCTAGTACATACAATGCCTAAAGCCACTATTACGCAAAGCGTTTCGGGCATGATACTCAAAAGCCCAGCTTAACACTGCTTGCAAGCTCACTGTGACCCTCACTGGACTCCCAGTTAATATTAAACTGAAATATTAAATGGGGAAGCAACAAATGAAGGGCTGTGATTTTAAATAATAATAAATAATACTTAAACTCACGACTGCCACCACCTTCCAGAAACCTGACCGTGCCTGTATTACTGATCTCCCAGGAAGAACAGAAATCAATAATCATGAACTCGAAGGGCGCAGGAATCTTGACGATAATGCATGGAAATTATTTATACAAATGTTTACTTACTGAGGATACCGGAACTTCCAATACAGCATATGAATAACAAATATAAAGACTCAGAATTAATAAAAAGGAGGAAAAAACATCTAAACAACAAAAATACATTAATAAACACTTTATTTAACAAAAGACACGTATATTTATAACAAAATTAAATATATCCTACTTTAATAAAAACATCCCTAAGAGGCAATATGTTGACCAGACCACACACTAGAAATTGAAGGGACGACGACGTTTCGGTCCGTCCTGGACCATTCTCAAGTCGATTGTGATAAGGAGGTAGGGACAGGCAATAAGTAGGCAAGAGAGAGCTGAGGAGGAAAGTAAGGTGTAGGGGATAGTAGTAGTAATGAGAACTGCAGAAGGCCTATTGGCCCATACGAGGCAGCTCCTATTATAACCACCGAAGGAGATAGTAATAGGAATAAGATGAGGATAGCAAGGGAGCACAGGAGAAAACAATGAACAGAAAAAGGGAGGAGAGAGAAAGAAAAGGAAAGAGAAAGAAAGATAAATGGAAGGGGTCAGCTTATGTTAAGTCACGTTTGTTAGAAAGATTAGAGCATTTGAGTATATACTGTGACAGGGAAGAGTCCACAGCAACAAAGCCAGGACTCAAGTTCATGTTGGGTACATTGTGTATAAGAGCCGATTCTACAAGACGGCGTCTGTGTAGAGTAGAGGCAGGAAAGATTATTTTTCGTAGCAATCTAGTTCACACTGCTCCTCCTGCTTCTAATGCTGCTGGTGTCTACTCTATTTCCTGTTCATCTTGTCCTCTCCAATACTTTGGCGAAACTGGCCGTACACTGAATGACAGACTTAAAGAACACAAGAGAAGTGTTAAGTCTGCAGACACTAACAATGCTCTCTTCTGCCATGTGAGGGATTCTAATCATCCCATTGATTGGTCTTCCTCCAAAATAATCTTTCCTGCCTCTACTCTACACAGACGCCGTCTTGTAGAATCGGCTCTTATACACAATGTACCCAACATGAACTTGAGTCCTGGCTTTGTTGCTGTGGACTCTTCCCTTTCACAGTATATACTCAAATGCTCTAATCTTTCTAACAAACGTGACTTAACATAAGCTTACCCCTTCCATTTATCTTTCTTTCTCTTTCCTTTTCTTTCTCTCTTCTCCCTTTTTCTGTTCATTGTTTTCTCCTATGCTCCCTTGCTATCCTCTTCTTATTCCTATTACTATCTCCTTCGGTGGTTATAATAGGAGCTGCCTCGTATGGGCCAATAGGCCTTCTGCAGTTCTCATTATTACTACTATCCCCTACACCTTACTTTCCTCCTCAGCTCTCTCTTGCCTACTTATTGCCTGTCCCTACCTCCTTATCACAATCGACTTGAGAATTGTCCAGGACGGACCGAAACGTCGTCGTTCCTTCAATTTCTAATGTGTGGTCTGGTCAACATACTTCAGCCACGTTATTGTGACTCATCACCTGCACAGGCAATATGTTATCCACTGATTGAAAAAAAACATGAGTTACTCAAGCGCACATTACCTTCCCTTGCAATAACCGGCCACAGACGCTGAATGGCTGCTCCCAGGACCTGTTCCCAAGTCCTACACCAGATACACTAACTAAAATTTTTATCACAAGCTAACCAGCTAAGGAAACTCCGCCCACTCTAGTTTCTTAGGCCCAATAAACCCCGCCTCTCCAAGTCTAGAGCCAATGATTTAAAAAACCCGGCTCTAGGCCTTGGTCCAGCCAACCAGTGCCAAGGACTAGCTCCACCCACTATGCCTCCCTGACCTCCACCAATCAAGCTCGAGGCTAGGCTATAGGCATGTCCTGAAGGGTCTGTTTCCCTCGACAGATTTCTCATACGTTCCCAAGCATACATCCAAGGAACCTGGAGCAGGAGTAGGTATATGACACCGGCTGAGTTTATTGTCTCTCAATTTGTCAATGGCTATAGGGGAGAGGGGAAAGAGTGGGGGTAGAGAGGGAAATAAGTGGGGATGGAGTGGGCACGGAGAGGGGCAAGTGAGTGGTACCGTCCCGCCATCAGGGGCCTCTTGACTCCATGGCAAGTGAGGGGAAGGGAAGAGCTTCCATCCATCATTCTGATCCATCATGAATGATCCATCATTCTTTGTAAAATCTCTTGTATGTATGCACCTTACCTAAATAAACATTTATTTATTTATTTTATTTATTTAGCTATGGTCTGTGCAGCAGATCACTACAAAGGGTGAGGTCTCAAGAGTGGCGTGACATCACTAGTGGAGTCCCACAAGGCTCAATCCTTGGACCCATCCTGTTTATGATTTTTGTAAATGATCTCTCAGAGAGAATAAATTCGTTCCTCTCAATGTTTGCTGATGCGAAAATCATGAGGAGGATTGGGACAAAGGAAGAAGATATCAAGAGGTTACAAGATGACCTGGACAAACTGAAGGAATGGTCCAAGAAATAACTACTAGAGTTCAACTCAAGTAAGTGTAAAGTAATAAAGCTACGTGACGGAAGCAGGCGGCCAGACACAAGGTACCAAATGGGATTTAAAGTCTCTCCAGGAAATTGGCAAAGAAAGGATCTAGGAGTTCATATGCCAAACTTTTATCCTGAAGCCCACATCAAAAGGATATCATCAGCAGCCTATACAAGGTTCGCTAACATCATAACTGTCTTTAGAAATTTATGTAATGAATCATTTAGAACTTTGTATACCATATGTCAGACCATTCTTGGAGTATGAAGCTCCAACATGAAGGCATACCTTTGTCAGACATAAGGCAAAGTTGGAGAAGGTTCAAAGGTATATACCACTGGACTAGTTCCAGAAATAACAAGCATGAGTTATGAGGAAAGGCTGCATGAATTGCACCTCATTTCTGAATTTGGATGTTTAGTCCCTGAGCCCATTATGTACTTCTGTACAACCGTCCTAATAGTGTCGCATTTTGACTTAGACTTTACCTAAGGCTAAAAATCGTCATACAAGAAAATGGTAGCAGCCTGAGAAATTTGACGTACAGTCCCGTTTTCTGTTCTGGATCTTCTGGTAGGTTACGAGAGGGCACTTTAGTACGACATTTTATTGGCGTTGGGAAACATTAGGAGATGGGTTGCTCTGTAACCCTTTCCACTACCGCCCACAGGATGGGTACGGGGCGTATAACATTTGAACTAAACTACTGTTGCTAGAAGACAGAAGAATTAGGAAAGACATGATTACCAGTAAACAAAATTCTCAGGGGAATTGACAGGGTGGGTAAAACATTATTTAACACGAGTGGTAATTGCACAAAGGGGGGACACAGGTAGAAACTGAGTGCCCAAAT